AGCGCGCCTTCCAAGCCGCAACAATCGACAACCCTGACAGCAGAAGTGAAGGCCCTCCGGAGACCATCCCCATGAAGAAGCTGTCGCGCCGCGCAGGACCCTAAGAAGATGGCATCGCGTCAGGAGCCTCGTCAGGATCAGCGCCCGCTCTAGGGGCGCCTCCCTCCACCGCATAGGAAAGCGCGCCCGGCGCCCTCCTCAGGCAGGACTCGGGGGCTCTCTCCTGGAGAGCCTCAAACCTTGCCAACCTCACGAGGGAGGCGCTTGGGCACCACTTGGAAGCGTGCTTCACGGCACGCTTTCCTCAGGAGAGCACAGGGCAAGGAGTGCCCACCACCCAGGAGTTCATCACCAAGACTACCCAAGAGCTACAAGATGCAAGAGCCATGCGCGGCGACAGCCGCTCACGGAGTGTGGTTCACCATCCAGGCGAGGGTGTTGAGCTGCGCGTCTGCATCGACATCCCAGGGCTCAACAGGGCCGCATCTTAGGAATGCTTCTGGCCATCACGTGTGGGCCGCTATGAGGGTCCACCACACAGCTACGTTCGCATGCCCTTCGGCTTGCCGAGCGTGGCATCGGCCTATCAGCGCAACATGCGGCAAGTCCTGGCAGCTCAGGAGGCCAGGTTCCACGCTGTTCTAGAGGAGATGGGGGCGGTCTTTAGGGAACCTCCTGAGCCCCCAGAGCCTCCCGAGGCTCAGGGTCCCGGTGGCTCATGAGGAGTCATTCCTTCAACGCGTGGCTTTAGCTACACCAACTCTACTTCGTCTACAGAACCAGGTGGCATCTTCCAAGTTCATTTAAGCTGGGAGCGCCACTCGGGCTGCACTATTCCCAGGCCACACGGGTCCGTCCTTGTGCCATGTATCCCTTTTACTTATGTCTCTAGCTTACCTTGTTGGGGCGCCCCTCGGGCTGCATCATCCCCACGCCGCTCGGGCCGGACCCGGTGGCATGTATCTTCCTGCATTTACCTAAGTCAATCTGCTCTTCATGCTTAACCTGCCAAGTGCTATCACCTTCTCGATCATCGCCTTCCTTGGGGCCTCTACACAGGCACGACGCTGGTGCATGGGTCCGTCCCTGCCACGACCGACAAATCTGAGTGGTCGAGCTCTGGCTCGCGGCACGCATCGTGCACGTCACCTCACCAGGCCCTCAGTGCCTTCACTTCATCCGGACCAACCAGTGGCAGGCAGGCGGCAGTAACGGCAGACCATGCTTCTTCTTGTGCCTGACCACAGGGACCCCGCGGGAAGGATAGCAGGCGGTACCGCAAGTCTCCTTTTCTCTCGTGCGATTCGCTTGCGCGTTAAAAGGAGGGCTCCTGAGCATCGTGACTCAGGAGCTCTTACTGGCTCTCCAGCCCTCACCCCCTGGCCTTGACCACGGCATTGCAACCTGGCATACCAGTGGCGGCTGAGCTTGCTCGAGGGCTGGGACCTGAGGACGTAGGGCACTAAGAAGAGCTCGGGAGAAGGAAAACTCATACGGACCGGCCTAGCTATGTCGCATAAGTTAGCGCGCAGCCCTAACGCAACATCAGGAATCACCGCGAAGTCAGCAAGATAAGTCCCGCCCTCGGATCGGCTAAATATTTGGGCCTAGTAGCCGCTCACACCATGCCGCAACCCCGTTGCGGTCAAGTCATCTTCCTTTATTTCCTTATCATGGCCGCTTGGGCACTAAGGGGGACCTCCTGGGCATCGCGCCTCAGGGGCTCTTACTGGACTTCGGGCCATGCACCTCCTGGCCTTGACCACGGCATCACGACCTGGCATACCAGCGATGGTTGTAGCCACCTTGGGACCGGGACCTGTCAGCGTAGAGCAACAAGCTCTCGCGAGGAAAGAATGGGGGAACCGAGCCTTAACGGGACACGCGTTCATCAAATCTTCATAACAAGGAAGATAAGTACAAAGGCATTGCATATCCTTACATGCCCCCACGGGGTGATTCATGATTCTTCGTAGGAAACAAAAGCTGATGCTAAAGGGGGTCCTATCTACATGCTCCCGTGGTGGATGCCATCATCAACAGTGGGCCACAGGAGGCCTGCGCCAACCCTATCCAGATCAGTGGTGGCGGCGGCCAGACGCCGCAGCCCTGCTTCGAGCATGGCGAGAGCTCGGGGGACATAGCTGTCGTTGCTCGTCTCCGGAGTCTCGTAGAGCTCAGGAGAATTGCTGGACTCCCAAGGGCTGCTGCTGCTGGAGTGGACGCGTGTAACACCCACGATGCGGCTATATCTCCCACGTGTCAGAACACGACTTAGAGGCATAACCACATAATAGGCATGTCACAAGAGGGGTAATCTTTACACATCCCATGTACTGAATAAGAAAGGGATAAAGAGTTGGCTTACAGTCGCCACTTCACACAATACATAAATATGGCATTACATCATCCAGAATACAATCAAGGTCCGACTACAGAACCAAAATAAAGAAAGGCAACCCCAAATGCTAGATCCCCAATCGCCCCAACTGGGCTCCACTACTAATCAACTGGAAATGAAACAACACAACAAACACAATCTTCATCGAGCTCCCACTTGAGCTGGGTTGCGTCACTTGCACTGATATCATCGGCACCTGCAACTATTTGGAAGTATCTGTGAGCCATGGGGACTCAACAATCTCACACCCGCGAGATCAAGACTATATAAGCTTATGGGTAGGAAAGGGTAGTGAGGTGGAGCTGCAGCAAGCACTAGCATATATGGTGGCTAACTTACGCAAATAAGAGCGAGAAGAGAAGCAATGCAACGGTCGTGAACTAGAAGTGATCAAGAAGTGACCTGAAACTGCTTATGTTTAAGCATAACACGAGATCGTGTTCTCTTCCCGGACTCCGCCGAAAAGAGACCATCACGGCTACACACGCGGTTGATGCATTTTAATTAAGTTAAGTGTCAAGTTTTCTACAACCGGATATTAACAAATTCCCATCTACCCATAACCACGGGCACGGCTTTCGAAAGTTCAAAACTCTGCAGGGGTGTCCCAACTTAGCCCATCACAAGCTCTCACGTTCAATGAAGGATATTCCTTCTCCCAGGAAGACCCGATCAGACTTGGAATCCTGGTTACAAGACATTTCGACAATGGTAAAACAAGACCAGCAAAGCCGCCCGAATGTGCCGACAAATCCCGATAGGAGCTGCACATATCTCGTTCTCAGGGCACACCGGAGGAGACATTCTATGAGTAAAACCAAACCTCAAGTTTCCCCGAGGTGGCCCCGCAGTCTACTAGGTTCGGACCAACACTTAGAGAAGCACTGGCCTGGAGGGGTTAAAATAAGATGACCCTCGGGTTAATTACTCTGAAGGGAAAAGTTTAGGTTGTTAGGCAAATGTAAAACCAAGGTTGGGCCTTGCTGGAGGAGTTTTATTCAAGGCGAACTGTCAAGGGGTCCCCATAACACCCAACCGTGTAAGGAACACAAAATCAAGGAACATAACACCGGTATGAAGGAAACTAGGGCGGCAAGAGTGGAACAAAACACCGGGCATAAGGCCAAGCCTTCCACCCTTTACCAAGTATATAGATGCATTAATTAAAATAAGAGATATTATGATATCCCAACATATCCATGTTCCAAAACATGGAACAAACTTCATCTTCACCTGCAACTAGCAACGCTATAAGAGGGCTTGAGCAAAGCGGTAACATAGCCAAACAACGGTTTGCTGGGTAAGGTGGGTTAGAGGCTTGAAATGGCAATATGGGAGGTATGAAATAGCAAGTGGTAGGTATCGCAACATAGCAATAGAGCGAGCAATTAGCAAGCAAAGATAGAAGTGATTTTGAGGGTATGGTCATCTTGCCTGAGATCGCGCAATCAAGAAGAATGAGTCCATGAAGAATACAAAGGAACGTAGTCGAACGAATCCTCACAAACGCGATGTTATCGGAACCAACCCGAAGAAGCAACACCGGAAAGGAGCAAACAACATAGTAAACAACCATCACATAAACATGGCATGATGCACAACCAAGTATGATGCATGTCCGGTTTAATGATTCATGGCATGGCAAAGTGCACAAGCAAAACTACAAGTTAAGTGGAGCTCAATATGCAACAAGTTGCATATTGACGAAACACCACATGGCTTATTTAGTTCTCTCCCGTTTATGTACCCAACAATATTAAATGTTGTTAAGCATGGAAAGAGGTGGAGCATAAGTAAACTAAACATTTAGGAAAGTTTAAATGAGGTCGTAAATAACAAACAATAATTCTGGTAAATCCCCATATGCATTTATCAATTTGGTGCAACAACAATTTTAAACATTTAAATGTTATTGATGCGAATGACATGTGCAAGTTTTATGCAGTTTTATGAAAATGTTGCCATGAACAAGATATGAAGTATTTGTCATCGTGGCCAAAACGAAAAGGGTGCCACGGCAATGAATCCGAAAAATGATGCCACGGCAACATAACGGTTCCGGTAACTCGATTGAGATGCCGGAGAAAACGATAGGGCGTGAGCGAGTTGAGCAAGACGGTGGGGTGCTCGCGACTACCGGGTTCCCACGGGTTAGTGGCATGGAAACGAGTGATAAATCGGACACGGTGCAGAGAAAGGGTGCATCTCATGCAACATAAGCATTCGTTCTCGGACGGTCGTCTCGGGGTTATACCTTTGAAGCATACGGTTCGGGAGGGTGCAATGCAGAGGAAGTAGATGTTCGCGGAACAGTCGTAGTGGAAGTAATGGTACTATCGGTCCTCGGCGATGGTACTGGTACTTAGCGATCTTGGCGGCGGTAATCATTCAAGTTCTTAGGCGCACAAGTTTCGTACATGTTCAGGGTCACGGCAAGGAACTTGACATCCACGGAGTGTTTGAGGGTCGATGGTACTTGATGTCCAAGTGGTATGTAGGGGTACTTGGCATTTGTGTTACCCGGGTGTTCGGCGCCTGAAGTTGAACATGGTCCACGAGTCGTCGATCGTTCGGGGTCCGACTTGCGGGTCTTGCCGACATGAAGTGGTACTTGGCGATTCCGCGTAGTTGTACATGGGCCGTTGCACACGTGACGAATCCGAGCCTTTCAGGGTCGGTCTTGGAGAGGGATGGTCGTAGTGGTACTTGTCGGTCTCGGTCGGGGCGGCAAAACATAGTCGAACTTGAGATGGTCTTGACGATCCCAAAAACGCTCCTGCTCAAGGAGGTCTCTGTCTCGGTCTTCACCGGTCGTGGTACTTGGCGAAAGGGATCCACGAATGCGATAGTCCTCGGACTTGAGGCTTCGTGCCCGGAGATGGTCTTGGCCTTGGCAGTGATTCGTAAAGGGGACTTTCGGAGACAACCCAGCAAAGGCATGCTGCGATCGAAGTGCATGGATCTTCTACCCGCAAGGAACAAAACATGGCGGCGACTGCGGCTGATGCGACCGAGCAAAACAGTGAGCAAGGCCAAAGTGGCCATGGTGGACATGAATGAGGAGGGGCCAGGAGGTGATGCAGGGGTTCAAACGTCGCGGTCGAAGGCTGGAAGCGGGGCATGGCGCAAGACCTGTGGGCGCTGGAGGCGACGCCGGTCCTCGGGCGATGATGAGGAGGAGGCCGGGGTTGCAGAAGGTGGCGACGCGGCCTGGAGCAAGGAAGCAGAGGCCGGTGGCGCGATGGAAGTTCCCGCGGTGACGGGCACCGGCGAACGGAGGCGGCGGCGGAGGACGATGCTCTCCTTGCGGCGAGGTGGCAGCCCGAGCAAGGAAACGAGCGCGGGAGGTCGGCGGTTGCGGGCGACGAAGCAGCAGAAGCGCGGGCGCCAGGCCATGGCGACGGAGAGACGAAGCTGGGGCGACAGAGAGGTGCGGGGGTTGAGGGGATCAGGCGCGGGCACTCCTCTCGAGTGCGATGCGTGTGAGTGGCGGCGGTGTGGGAGGACGAGAGGGAGAGGATGAGATGGGATCGGGCATGCCCCTTGGGCCGGCTAGGTTTAGGTGCGGCTGGGCCTAAATGGCCTGCTGGGCTCCCTTCTCTCTCTCTCTCTCTCTTAAAAACTATTGCAATAACAGGAAAAAACAAATAAAGAAAGGAGAGAGAAGAAAAAGGAAGGAGGTGTTAGGGGAAGAAGTTGGACATGCGGATAATTTTCCCGGACTCACAAAAATTGTCTGATCCCAGAAAAAATGAAGTGGCAAGATTGCAAGAATTGAATTCAAATTCATTTGAATTTAATTCAAATGGATTTGAATAGGAATGGGGTGTTTGAGAAGTACAAAATGTCGGGAATTTTTGGTGGATATTGGATAAGTGATGAAAGAATTTATGGACAACAATTGAGGTCAAGATGTGAGATAACAAAGGCCTGGGGAATTACTTGCAAGTGTGTTTTGGTGATTCCAAATTAATGAAATATTTATAATATAGCTCCCTAATAATAGTAGGAGACTTTTATATGTTATAAAGAGAATTTTACCATGTGAACTCCCTCGATTTAAATGGATCAAAGATCCATGCCATTTATTTAGTTGAGTTTTCAGAGAAAAAGTTGCAAGATGACATGATGCAAAAATGAATGCAACGAACCAAACAAATCACACGACGAAACTCGGAAAATCATGGAAGGCATCTGAAGTTCCGGTCTTGGGGCGTCACAATACTCCACCACTACAAGAGGATCTCGGCCCGAGATCTAGGATGGCACCGGAGGGAAAAGGACGAGGAAGATAAGAGGTAAAACTAAGTTGCTTCTTTGACAAACGAGTGAAACCAAAGAACCTTGAGAGGTTGAACAAAATGAAAGAAAGAATACAACGAAGATGAACAAAGTTGAAAGCACTCCATGAGGAAAGAGGAACAAGGACGAACAAATTCGGACAGCACTCCGGTTAAAAAGAGATGCAAGACTTGGTAAGGCGAAAAGAACTTGAGCAAAGGGCACAACACTCCGGTTAAATGGATAAGCAAAGGAAAGAACATGATCTTGGAAAAAAACAAGATGATTGGTTGAAGAGAGCAACATCACAATGCCTCCGGAACGAACGAATAGAAGCTAGATCGTCGGAATAAGAGAACGGAGAAGGAATGGCAACTTGTACCACAATTTAATTTGGAAATCATCCTTGCAAGAAGGTTAGAGCGGAGTTGTTGGAAAAACAACAACGGAAAGATATGATCCTCGTGGACTTATTGAGACATCTCAAAACTTGAGGTGAACTTCTGCCACTAACAAAAAACAATTGCTTGCTAGAGATCAACGAAGAGATGAAAACTTGTTCCACCAAGAGGATAAAGAGCAAGCTTGGGTCATTGAGAAGCACCACAATAGCAACATTTCTTAGGGAAGGCTTTAGGTGAAATATAACCCAAGATAACTCCAATGATGAGATTGATGGATTTAAAATATCTCATACTTGACAACTTGCGAACCATGAAACACGAAGGAAATTGTCAAGAATGACATAACACCATCTCAAAAGATAAGGTAGAAAGAATTGCACTTCGGAATGCAAGATGAAGAATACTTGAGCTCCTATGAAAAGAATCTCAATGAACACTTCGAGAAGGAATTAGATCCTTGATGAACCATCATGTAAAGCCTCCATGAAGAACTACGGTAATAAAAGGATGATCAAATGGAATGAAGGATGAAGAGAATAAGGTTGAAGCCTTGCAATGATTAGATGGATCTTCGTGATGATGAGAGCTTGGAACTCCGGGAAAAAGAGAAGATGAAACAAAAAACGAGAATTTTTGATGAACCTCTGGAATAAGGAATTGAATTTGCTCGATGAAACAAGAATAAGAATTACATTATGCTCATCCTTCACCAATTAAATTGATGGCAACCAATGGATTTGGCATACTACTTATTCTCGTTGAAAAAGGATTAAGGTAGATATAGCGCCAACTTGGGAAAATCTTCAACGAACCACTTGTAGGATTGAAACAACGGATAAATTGATATGATAACGAATGAAAAGAAATCTTGAACGAACCACCATAAGAATTGAACAAGAAAGTAGCAAACGCACAATTCATCAGGAAGAATTAATAATGAATGAAGATACTTGAGGGAATTTAGATACAAGAGAACGAAGAGATCACGAGCTGATTATATAATACTTAAATGATGCACCAGTATGATTTGGAGAACAATAGCTGAAAGCTAGAATGAATAAACCCGAAATGATGGTCTTTGGAGAATCAAACTGAAAAGACTCTTGAATTGCTCCGGATGGGTGACAAGAATTGTCACAATCAAAAACAATTATGAGAGGATGGCATCAGGCTAGAACCATGAATCTTCAAGAGAACATATATGATTGCAGATAAGCTCTTCTTCGATCTTCAAATGTTGAGAAAGATGACGAGAAACATCGTCAAGATTTGTTGAGACACTCTGGAATGATTAAAAGAGGAAAGGTTGAGCCAAAGATGAAAAGATTTTGAAAGCGATATTGGAGAAAGCAATTGACTGATGCAAATTCATTCTTACGTCAAACTTTGAAATGCATTTCAGAATAACTCTGGGAAGATTAGAATAGTCAGGTAAGATCCTGGGAAAAGACCTATGGGTTAGGGCCCACACAAGAGAAACATCGTTGAAATGATTGCTTGAAAAGAGAGGTTGCACCGGTTGAATTAAATGGGTAGAATGAGATAACAATCTCGAAAGAGCTTGAACGAATGCAGAGTGGAAACACGAATCTTCAAGATATCTTGATTACTCCGGAACAATTGAATAGCGAGAAGTGGATGATTATGAGGTGCACCTGCAAGAGGAAGCATATGAAACGAGAGAAGGATATGATCGACAAAGTTTGGCTTGAATCCACCGGCGAAGAAAGAGAACGGAGAATGATGAACTTGAAGCTCTGTTAGTATCTTTGCTAGAATCACCGGATAAGAACATTGAAAGAAAAGAATGAAGAGACTTCACATCCATAAGATGGATACTTGATTAAGAAATCTGAGTCCTTGAAGAAAAAGGGTGGGAGGGTGGGAAAACAAACACATCTTGGGACGGATGAACCAAACAATGTTGAGAAGACTTGAGTTGATCTTGCGTATGTTGAAAAAGATCGGATCCACTTAAAGAGAGACACATCGGTTCATAATAAATTGAGATGGCAAACTCGAAGATCAAGAAGGATTTGTATTCACATAGGAATATGAGAAGACCGCTTAGGAAAGGTATGGAATCAACATTTGACATTGAAGCAACTCAAATACCACAAACTCAAAACAAAAATAAATGATTGCCTTGGAAAATAAGCCAGAAACAAACATATGATAGATACCATATCGTATCATGTGTCTATTGGAAAGATATCCTACGAGCTACTTGAATTCCCACTTATCAACTCCCAAAACTTTCCGGTTATGCAATCAGGTGTTGGGGATACAGGGGAAGCCTAATATCTCACCCAAAACTAGCAAATCCTACATCCAGCTGTATCCATCCTTCAACACATAACCAAGAAACCTTCGGAAATCATTTACCTCAACCTTTGAAAAGCATCCATTATACGAGTTATGGCAATACTCCCGAACTCCCGCCCCAGTACTGGGTGGCATCGAGGTTATCTTACCAACAACTGCATAAAAGAGATTTTCAATGTCGGTGAAACTCAGGTATTCCAGAACTGCAACGATAAAATTGTGACGACAACACCTCGGAGCTCAACTCCCCGAGACACTACCACAACCCCTAAATGTCAGGAGGCACCAAGAACAATGTTCTCATCACAAAACCATCGGAACGATTCCAAGATACCCGCGTGATCCTAAAAAAATTATTGAAATTTGAGAAGAGAAAAGTTGGTATCAGAGCCTTCCCCGACCTTAGGAGCCCCCTGCTTGATCGTATCGCTGGCGTTGTTGAGTCTAGAAAAATGTTTTGAGTCATTTAGGATTATATATATCGGGGAGTTAGGAATTCTTTTTACTCCCCAGTCCCTTCATCGCTCTGGTGAGGCATCCTGACGTAGAGTTTTGACTCTTCTCTTCTCAAATTTCACTAAAAAAAATTAGGATCACGCGAGTATCTTGGAATCGTTCCGATGGTTTTTCACGAGAACATTGTTCTTGGTGCCTCCTGACATTTAGGGGTTGTGGCAGTGTCCCAGGGAGTTGAGCTCCGAGGTGTTGTCGTCACAATTTTATCATTGCAGTTCTGGAATACCTGAGATTAGTTTCGCTAACATCGAAAATCTCTTTTATATAGTTGTTGGTGAGATAACCTCGACGCCACCCAGTACTGGGGCGGGAGTTCGGGAGTATTGTCATAACTCGTATAACGGATGCTTTTTGAAGGTTGAGGTAAATGATTTCCGAAGGTTACTTGGTTATGTGTTGAAGGATGGATACAGTTGGATGTAGGATTTGCTAGTTCTGGGTGAGATATTATGCTTCCCATGTATCCCCAACACCTGATTGCATAACCACAAAGTTTTGGGAGTTTATAAGTGGGAATTCAAGTAGCTCCTAGGATATCTTTCCGTCAGATGTATGATATGAAATTGGGGTTCGACGTCTGGTGGTCCGCCTATCCACGGTTGGTTTTACAGTGGTCTCGTTGTGTCTTAAAGAGTCCTAGGCTATGCCGACTCGGGGACGCTTCGTATGTCATGTGCACTGCCTTGTACATGAGTCGAGCCCGTGTAGGCCCCACCACGAAAACTTCGGACGAAATCTCTATCATATGTTTGTTCCAGTTTATTCGGCAAGCCAATCCTTTGTTTTGTTTTGAGTTGTGGTATTCGAGTTGCTTCAATGTCAAGTGTTGGTTCCATACCTTCCCCAAATGGTGTTCTCATACTCCGATGTGAATACCAATCTTTCTTGATCATCGAGTTTGTCATTTCAATTTCTTTCCAATCGGTGTGTTTTCTCTTCAAGTGGATCCGATCACTTCAACATTCGCAAGATCAAGTATCAGTTTTCTTCTGAACGGTGTTTGTTTCATCCATCTCCAAGTTGCCTTTGTTTTTCCCGCCCTCCCTCCCTCCCTTAATTTTCTCCGGGGAATCATATATATCAATCAAGTATCCTTTTATTCTTGTGAAGTCTCTCCATTCTTTTCCGTCAATATTCTACCCGGTGTTTCTCATGAAGATTGTAACGGAGCTTCAAGTTCTTCAATATTCGTTCTTTTTCTTCTCCGGTGGATCCAATTCAAGCTTTGTTGATCATATCTTTTCCTCGTTCAAATGTTTTCCCATGCCATTTCACCTCTTTATCATTCCCTTCTCACTATTCTTTTGA